ACCTCAGAGATTTAGCGTGTTGTTATTTGTGTTTGTAGGCGCATCAGCGGAGGCCAACACTGGCAGCAGTCTGGATGGCGGCCTGGTTCAGTGGAGCTGTGGAAAGTGACCTTCTCCGCAGTATATTTTACACCAGGCCCCAGTGGCCCCGGAGCCCTCTGTTCCAGCTGGAACACACTGTTGTGCGACAGATGCCATATTAAGCAGCACTCCCCCCGCCATCAACCTGCTTCCAAAATCCCTCCACTGTCAATTTGCAACCGCCTCTCAGCTGGAACTGGACTGCATCTGTGTGTGTCTGAGTGTGTGCACATTAATACCCAATGATGCGAGGGTCTCAAAGGCTCAGGCCATAAGAGTCATATTGGACATGTGTGCGCATGTTTACACTTAAACACTTATAAAGGGTCTCCAAACAGTTCTCTCACTAAAGTGCTGATGTTTCCCCTCACCCCATCCAGACTGAAATGATCCGTGTGCGCTTTAGAGATAATGGCGGGGCAATTTTATTTCAGTGTCGTTGCGTTTAATGAGAGAGCTACCTCACAGTATACAATTTGCTTTTATTACAAAACCATAAAGCAGTATGTGCTAACGTCATAGTAACTACATGCACAAATTGCCTTTCTTGTTAGTAAAATATCATGCTTGCATCAATATCGTTATTTAAAAAGGAGCAATGTTTCGGCTGGCCATGTGCTCCATAGAAATATGGGGCAGCATTTCACATCTAATACTGAAGTCCATGCAATCTAAATGTACATAAATTAAATTAAATTTAAAAAAGGCAACTGTCAAACCAAAACAATTAGGAATACAAAAAATTCAACGAAACTGATGGAAGGTCAACATACCACTACTGTCTTATAATCCTGGGGCATTAGCTTAAAGTCAACGTTAGCCATCTATACAGTACATGCTATCTACCTATGGGGGCCGTGCTGGCTGTTTACGCCATGATACATAGTCTGGATGCACACTATTGCCAGTTGTATTACAAGATAGGAGGCACATGTTATGGGGACTGCAATTGTTCAAAATACACCAAATCTGTAACCCCAATAGTCATAAAAAAAACAATAATTGAGTAGAAATATCAGGGTAAGCCAATCGAAGGCTGATAAGGGCGAGACATGCCTTTGCCGTCATTCTGCAAAAATAATTATCCATATATGCTTCTGTGTGTTGCAACGAGAGTGTATTTTCAGTTAGAATTCCTTTGGACAGCTCTATAAGCCTGCTTTAGAAGTGAGCGATTCAAGGAAGCTGAAAGAAACGTCTCTGTTGATACGCATTATTGTTTTGAGTCGTACTCTGACTGTGTACAGCAATAGGCAAGAGAACGCCACACACAAACTGAAGAATGATATTGATTTGCATTGGTTTGCAAGACAGTCACACAACTCAAACAGTTGCTCTAGGAGTTTTTATTTACTCCTTGTTCTAAGTCTCAGATGCTCTCTTCAACCTTTGAATTTATTCTGCTTGGCGTATTCACAAAGGAACATTCACTCAAAGAAACAGTCAACACACAAACACACACTTTAAAGAGTTTATTTCTACTGGTAGTACTCCAACTAAGTTTAATTAAGGGTTTTAAATGTTTCACATTTCTTGACCTCTAGTCCAGTGATTCTCAAATGGGGGTACGCGGACCCCTATGGGTACATTGGGGTACTGCAGGGGGTACGTGAGATAAAAAAAAAAAAAGTTTAATTAAAAAAAATACCATGCATGATTACAAAAATAATCTTAGCACAATAAGTGAACAATAAGAAAACACAATTTTATATAAAATATTTCTAGAACCACCAAGGGGGTCCTCATATAAACATGTCAAATTTGTGTGTTGTATTTTATAGTTTTTCATAATATATCATTGTGTTCATTGGTTTGTTAAACATATATATTACTTCAATTGAAAAACTCCTTGGAAAAATCGTTATGTATATGTTCTTTTTTTTCATGCACAAAGATGAAAAAATCCTTAGTTTGTTGCAGCGCCATATAGATAGAAGAGTTACGACAGCGGAAGTCCAATATGCTTGATCGTCACGTGGTTCAGGGAGAGTCAATAGTTCCCCGGAAGTTCGTGGCGGGACATTTGAATGCATGATTACCGGAGATAGAACTACGATTTTTGGTAATAAGTAGTGAATAAAGGTCTTGATTTGCAATATTTATACAACATACCGATATGTGTATGTATTTACATCAATATGTTTAAAAAATAAAATGGAATCTGCTAATATTTATGGATAATATTAGGAATAGTGTGAACAGCTAGTTTACTTGGTTGTTAGGCTAACGTTGCCTTGGTTAAAGAGCCTGTTGCTGTTGTGTATTGCTTTGAATTATTTAAAACAAATATTATCTTCTTAAACAGGTACAGTATGGTAGTCAGGAGCATCACTTCCTAATGTTTGATATATTCAGAGGGAGGGGATGGCAAGGAATGCTTCAAAATGTAGATATAATATTTTTGATATAATTTCCTATCACGTGTAAATTGTTTGTTTGACCTTCAGTAGTTTCAACAATTTGTTCCTAGTAACTTTAGTTAACTAGATTTCTCACTATAGCTTCTACAATATCAAGTAATTGGTAACTTTCATTTCCACTCGTGTCTTTACATAGTCATTTCTTATAGCAGCTTTTTTGACTTGTTATAGCAGGACATTAACAGAACTAATATTGTTAACAGTAGCTAACTTACATTAAAGCATTCCATTAGGCAGGGTCAGTGTGTGAGCATGCACAAAACCTGAAACCTGGAATTCTTTAATTAATGTTATGAATTACTGCTTCTCTTATTGACATGTATACGTCATCTCAAATGTGTGTCTGAAAACATATTTGCCTTGCCTGCCAACACACTCTCACTCCCTAAGCGTCCAGGAGCGACGCTTGGTCAGGGTCCCGTGGCGTCCAGTTGTGACGCGCCGAGGCTCCTTCAGCTTCATAAACGGACGCAAAGAGCTTTCAACTGATTGCAATGTATTCCCATCAGCGGCGGTATTTGACGCTTAGGGAAGCACGGCATTCGTTTGTGTCAGAGGCTGTTAAAGGCAATGTGAGTGTCCATTCCCATTGGATAACGGAGAATTGTACACCCGGAAGTAAGTATTCCCCTTACTGTCGATTGATTTGACAGTGATATCTCCACTACTCATCAACTCAAAAACACCAGATTATCCTTGTTAATTAAACGACATTGATAGGTTTTAGTGTGTGTACAATGCTTTTGTCACGTTTTCCCCTTCAATTCTGAGAAACAAGTCGTTTTCTATGAGTTTTGGATGGCCGAAGACATTACATTACCCACAATCCTCTGTAGCAACCATAGACTGTATAACAAAATTAAATAATACATTATTCCGAGTGTGCTTGCTTTTCTCTTTGAAAGTCATCACATAACGGCATTGTAATACACGTTTCGGCTGCATTAAATATTACATATCTACCGTAGTTAACTCTATTTATAGAGCCCTGATGACCAGACTTCTAGACAAACAGGAACTGCCGCCAAAACTGAAAACTTGACGTGGATCTTAAATATATAAGCAATTAAACAACATCTTACATTTCTTTTCACACAATACGTCTCCTTGCAGTATCAACACTAATTCGGCTGACTTTTATATTTGATCCAATTGGTAGATAGGCTGTATTTACGCCATAACGGTGCACAGCTGATAGAAAGGGACACCACTGGTTAAAGCACGTTATTGCATTGTATAATTTTATTATTAGATATTAAAGGTGGGGTAGGTAAGTTTGAGAAACCGGCTCGAGATCGCTAGAATTTGAAAATACACAACCGGAGAAAATCTGCCACTTCCTTACAGAGCCCCTCCTCCAACACACACGAACGCGCACATGACCAATGAGGGCACGAGATAAGTTTGTGCCCCGATGGAAGGCTGACAGGCAGGTAGGCCATCCAGTTATTTTAGCCGGGCAGGCTAAAATGATTGGTCGTACTTTTTACAGTACTACGGCTTCCACAGATGACATTTTTTTATGGATTTTTTGTCAAAGCACTTCAGATATTAATTGCTATCGGGATGTTAAGAGCATTCCATGGAATATAACAAAAAGTGTATCTCGAGCCGGTTTCTCAAACGTACCTACCCCACCTTTAAGAGGCCATTACATATACAATACTTCTTTGTACGGTTACACCATGGCTGTTCAAGTGATCCATGCAGTGTTATGAGTGAACATCAACATTAAAAGGCAGATTAAAATGTGTAACGTGACATAGCACAATGTAGGAGATTCATTACAATGCATAGTGTCTGCCCATTTTAAGTTAACATTTATAATAGTAATATATGGTTGCATACTCTTTATTGAGCATAGCATAACTTGCTGTCATTAATCAGAAATACATTATGATTAATGATTTCCCCCTGGGGGTTCATGTATTGATTCCTAACAAGTCAGTTAAACCCTCGACCCCCTCTTAAAAATAACAATGAGTTTTGTTTAAAACTTTGGTTCCGACCAACCAATCTAAACTACAGATGTGAGACTGACTACAGATGCGTTAAAGAACATGTTAATTGAAGCAATGTCCTAATCAAGTCAGCATTGAGACAGGTTTTAAAGTTTGTCAAAATGTGTTGCTATGATCAATATAAAGTTTAGATGATTGAAAGGGTTAATGTTAGAAATTCTGGATCCGGCCCTGACCTGTCCATCACTGCTTGCACTAGGTGGATTGGCAGTTTGAAGCAATAGTTAATGTAGTAGACTGTTTCCCTGTGGATATGATTGGGTTTTGAATTTGTGACACACTTAATCTAGTTTGTCAGAAATACATGTAATCTTAGTTTACCAAGTCTATTCCACAGACATTTGGCGCCTTTAGTAGAAGAATGTATAATCAATTCTCTCTGGTGACAAACTTGCGAAGATACAAGTCGGTTTAGAAAATGTCAGACATTTTAGGGGGATAAAAAACATGTTTCTGAATAGACCCCAATTGTTTACCACTACTCGTCTTTTGCATTGTTCCATACTGAAAAGATGACAACCAAAAACACAGCGGACACTGTGACATAAACGGAAAAAAAAATGATGTCCAATTTTTTGGCCACTTTGGTCCAGTAGTCGGGCTTCCTTTCTTCCTTCCTGCTGAGGAGCAGAGAGAGAGTTTTCACCGCCTCACTCAGCTCATCTGGGAGCTTCTCCAAGGAATTGGAATCCTCCATTAGTTGGCTTCTTTTGTCCTGCAGAAGTTTTTTAGTGGAGTGATCATGGACCATAACAACCATAACAAATTGTCAGCTATTCAATTTGATATACCAATTTTTGTCAATTGTGGTGAGAATAAAGAGTTGGTTCTGTAAACCATTTTTATACCAAACTGTTTGTTTTAAGAGTAACCCAATTCTCACCTCTTTGGCCACAGACAGCAGTTCAGATGGTGGTTCATCAGACACATTACACAGACAAGCACAGTGAGTCCATTTCTTCACATCTGAAAGGAAATTGTTGACACAGGACAGCAGCATGTTCAAAATAATGTATTATTAATTGTAGATGTTTCTTTGTGCATTCCAACAAAAGAGTAAATACAATATAACAATAGTTAAAATCCACAGGTTTAAAGAATGTGTTCAGTCTCACCTCCATCATAGTTGCCCTGTTTGTCTCCACAGTCCTCACTCAGGCTGCGGTTGTTATCTGCCTTTTTTTCTTTAGATGCAGAGTCTTTCTCAATCAGATACATCACCAAAATCGTCTCCAGAAGGCTGACCATTATCAAACCAAACATCCCAATGCAGTACACCGCTGAAGAGAAAAGGCAACGTCATTAAAGTGGACGAAAGGCAAGCCATTGTTGTTCCTGATTGAATGAAATGAAAGTCCAATAAAATAATGACTCTGAGTTGCTTTACCTATAAGCGGTATCCTGTCTGAAGAGGAAGGCAGAATCTCGTTGAGAATAAGCTGCATCACAGTGACAGCGAGCAGCACAGTGACCTTGAAGCTGAGCTTCTCGCCCCCGTAGTCTGAGATCAGGAAGGAGGCCAAGTCCAGACAGAAGAAGAACAGGATAGGCACTAAGAAGTTGGCGATGTAGAGGGCAGAACGCCTCTTCATCCTGATCTGTGATCCAAGATGGAAAAACAGTGAATCTGTTCACTAATGCTGCAATGATCAAAAACATTATTGATTATGGGTTTAAGGTATTTTGCATGCAATATGAAAGATATTGCTTCACTGAAATATGAAGTTAAGTGTTTATATAATTTAGTTATATTTTATATTTTGTCACAGTGGTTAAGGATGATTAAGTGACCACCATCAAAAATGTGCAATTACAATGTATCCAATGAACAACAATGTCAATGGGTTTGCTCTTTTTTATTCTGCTGTTTAGAATACAAGCTAAATAAAACCAGCAAGTGGAGCTGCAAACATTTTCATGCAAATGTTTGCAGAAATAAATAAAAGTAAAATGTACAACACACTTACAGTATAAATTAGAACGCTTTGGTTTTGATAAAAATGTGGGACAGATTGGGGATTGACTGCCATGTCGATGAACAGCCACTCAAACTGGTTCCTCATCATTTGGCAAGTCCATTCCGTTATCACTGTACTGTTTTCTAAGGCTTCAAACTCCAACTCCTCCACTAAGGTGAAAGTGAAGAAACAAGTTTGAGATGTCTTATCAGTTCAACACAGGATAAATGCATGTGCTGGTGTGTGCTCATGTGACAATTAGCCTTTAAAGAGATAATTACCACAAACGTGCAATCAAACACACAACATACATATTTGAGCTAAATGTCTAGAAACTTCTGAAAGCTCACCTGGGTAAACGATAGACTTGAGAGACAAGGTGCAGTTCTGAATATCAAAAGGAAATTTGTAAATTTGCATCTTGCACATGCTGATCACCATAAGGTCCCTCACATGTTCAACGAGACCGTTCGAGTGAATGGTGATGAAGGGATTTGGAACAGCCTTGTCCTTCTCTATCCTGTATGACAACAAACATACATTTGTACAAATGATAGCAAACACTTTATGCTTCAAACTGATTTTCACATTGTGTAATACTTTAATACAATGAAACATTTATCTAAATTATGATACTATTGTTTAAGTCTGTATTTTCCTAAAATGTTCCCTCATTACTTTAAATATAGAAATACTATCGACACAGTTTAACAATATCACACATCTCTATATCTTAAATATGATTAACCCGGCTCAAGTCAGTTGAGGGGTATCTGCTTCATTGTGTATTGCATTCTAACCACAGCTGTTTTTCACAGGTTTTCCATAGGTGTACAAATATAATTGTAAAAAAACAATATTTTTAAACCTTGTTGCATCATCTTTGTACATCCATATGATTTATTGTGCATGTCCCTCTTAATAATAACAGGCTCCATCCCCATTTACTGTTGTGAGTGTGTGGATTTGTGAGTATGCACAAAAAATTCCAACTTACATCTCTTCAATCATTAGATCTGGCTTCCACAACAAATCAGCAGAAACTCTCATCTTATCAAGTTCACCAAAGTGATGTGGTTTCCAATAAATATTCGGATCTTCCCATTTCTACACAGGAAAACAAGGAAGAAGGGAAGAAAAAAAAGGTAAATAAAGACCTTTAAGATGCAATCTACAGCAACTAATTTCAACCTACAGTATAATAAAGAGAATGGGAGAATCACAAATTGGTTCTCAAAACAAACTCACCATATAAATCCCAACGAAAGAAACGAAGGTCTGGTCAATCTCTCTCTGTAACCGAAGAAATGGTGTGAACATTTTTACCACATTAAGGTAGCTGACCTATAGGCGAAACTGTCATAAAACATTGCACTTTGAAGTTAACATGCTGACTACCTTCAGCAAGTTGAAAAGAAGTAAAAGCTCGTTTGTAAACCCACTTTGTGATTTCGCTGCATTAACGGGATCGCACTAAGCAAAGCCCTAACGATGTTTCTTCAAAATGTAAGGTAGCATTGGGGGAGAAATTGATTAAAGGTATTGTTTTTGGGTTGACATCATTTTTGTGGACACTTTGTCGCACTATTCTGACTTGTATGTGCTTCCTTCAATAGTGCTAGTATATAGCTGTTTCCTAGAGATACTATGTACAAGTACTGATCTGGTACAAATCGTACTATGACGCTCTCCCTGCGGTGACCCGCATAATCCCGTCTCTTGACGCCTTTAAAAGGGCCCTCAAGTCCCACCTGTTTGCCAAGGCCTTCGGCCCCTCATTGATTTGTTGTTTTGTCTGTCTGACTGTTTGTCTGACTGTTTTTTTGGTTTGTTTTACTCCTGTTTTTTCTGCAAAGCGACCTTTGGTCCCCTGAAAGGTGCCATATACATTTAAGTTATTATTATTATTATTATTATTGCATGCTATATTGAAATGTATGCTGAGCTGTTTTTTGAGAGAGTCGTTTGTTCTTATTAAACTAACTTATCCTATATTTTGATTTGACTCTACTGATACCTATTGCTTTCTGGCTTTCATGTGTATTACCGTGTGTTTGTACTGTTCAACTGTTATCTTTGTTTTTGTTGTTTTGGGCTGCTTTCCACAGCAAAAAATAATGATTATCCTCAAAAGAAAAAAAAAATCAAAGTTGAACTTACCACATCTAGAATGGCCAGAATTGACATTTGGACATAGACCCATGTTTTTTTTTTGTAGTCTTTGGCAGGTCGGACCAACTTTTCCTTGGTTTTGTTCAGGTTCAGGCAGTTTAAAACATCTTCATATGTGAACTTCTTTTCTATTGGGAGGACATCAAAACAATATCTCTATCAGAGAGTTACTTCTTTATAGGAAAAAACTATAAGGAAAAAGCATATATATATATATATATATATATATATGTATCAGCATTCCCACTAAATAAGGTAGAAATAGAATAACACATAATTACTGTGTACTTACTCTCACTGTCACGATCACATGGTCCTCTCTTAATGGAGAGTTGCCCTTGTTGTTCCAAGTTATTGATTGTTTTTCCACCTGACAGAAAAAAGTATGCAGCTCTTAAAGTGATTCAACTGAAGCAGGTTAAAGGGTTGTGCATCTGTTAGCAAAAGCTAAGAACACAATTATAAAATATTTTCATTCTCATCGTTTAACAACCTCAAATGTGAGATTTCAAACATATAAATAAATCAAATTCACTCACACATTTTCTCACGGATATATACAATCTATAAATAAGATAAATGCTCTATACATTTAATTACTTGACACATTTTTAGTGTTTACATACCTGCTTCAAAGCTGGGATTTGATGTAAGATCATCCTGAAGCTCTGGTAGCTCTGTGGTATTCCAGGAACTTCCACCTGACAGAAAAGAGCATACAGCTCTACATTCAATATTATTTTCATGCACACACACAAACTGCTTTCCCACAAAATAAATGTAATTGCATCTGCAGATATTGTTTGGTTTAAATGATGCTGAGATAACCATCTCCTAGATGTTTTACCCATCAAAGAAGGTGAATGGGATTTGTGGAGCTCACTTCACTGTAAAATAATGATGTCAGACATCATGCATGCTCAACAAATGAAGTTTAGTTTCTTTATATCATTTTTCAGTTTGCTGTACACACCAGTAACATATCTATCAGTTTAATTAAACAAAAAAATACTTTGAATTATATAATGCAGTAAATAGACAAGTGTATTACTTTTCAAGACTTCTATACGTATAATAAAAATAGAACAACACATAATTACTGTAATTTGTTGTGTTTTTTCCTTTACACACCGTTGTTATTGTCGTCCTTTGAGTTATTGTTGGTACTTCCACCTGACATAAACAAGTATACAGCTTAAAAAGTGATTCAATTGAAGCAGGTTAAAGTGTTGTGTAACTGTTAGGAACTTCCACCTGACAGAAAAGAGAATGGAGAACTACATTTAATATTATGTTCATGCACACAAATGGTAATTTTTAACAAAAGCAGCTTCTCTTCCCAGGGACATACCTGCTTCTCTGAATAATCCAAATACTACGCCGAAGAATTATGAAAGAGTTGGAAAATTGTGTTTTTTTGTAAATAGATGTTGCTTGTAGTATCATCCTTTGTTTCCTTTTTTTGTATGCTGCATCACAAACAAACCTTCATTCCCCTCAATGATATTGGAGTGGCAACAGAAACGTCCCACCTGCATGCAACATATAGAATTGTCCCAGCTTACCTGTGAGGAGGAGCAGAAAGAGGAAACCGGTAAACATCCTGACTGGGAGAGTTCAGCAAAGTACATGAGCATCCCTGTCCTCTCTGTGTTTTCTGGGAAGGTTTTTGTAGTCGTAGAGATTATAGCTCTACTAGAAGAGGGACGGGCAATTGATTGACCAAATTTTCTTTTTTTTGTACTTATTAGTCTAATGAGAGAAACTCGCTAATGCAACACTCAGCCCTCTGTGGTTAAATCAATTTGGATGTCATCAAATGAGCTGTTTAATTCTTGCTTCCGCTGTTGCGGCTGTTTGTTTTCCAAAGTAAAGTATTTCATTGTCAGAGCTGCTTTTGGCTGCAAGAAACTACAATTTACATTTAAAATAAACAACACATAATCTCCGATGTGACTGATTACTGTGTCAAGCTTTTCCATCACTTCTAGGCACAGTAATGTCTTTATTCTTTGTAGACTTTACAATCAATGCTTTTGATTCAGTTGCGAGTTGGACCTGAATAGTTTGACAATACTATTTGTTTATTATGGCCATCACAATATATCTGAATTTATGTATTGATTAAATGATGGATGATCCAATCCTATGTATTGATACAAAGTGAATACATCCGTTCATATAATCTAAAGAGGTGTAATGTTTAATACCAAACCACATGATCCAAAGACAAAGGGAGCGGCATTACATATCACCAACTGGTTCAATATTTAAACTAATTTGTTATAAAAAACGTCTGAAACCTGTCAAAAAGACATTGCAACACATTTCCAAGTGGAGCCATCCCCTTTACATTAGAAATATGTATGTTTGTCCCACTAACGCTGTGCTTTATGGTTTGTTTTCCTATTGATTGTTTGTTTATTGGACCATAGCAAAGTGGCAGAACTGAGAAAAACGCAAATAACAGATCCCAGGAATTAAAGGGGACCTATCATGCAAAATGCACTTTTGTACGTCTTTTATACATGAATATGTGTCCCCGGTGTTCCAGGGAACTCACCAAGTGTCAGAAAACACAACCCTCTCTATTTTCCTCCATACCCAAATCTCTAAAAAAGGGGCTGCAACAGATCTGATAAAAACTGATCCAGATTTGAACACTGTCCTGACGTCAGGACGGTGGCGCTACGGCTATTGGGCCAACTCTCCACCTATCAGGGGAATGTGGGGTTGGGCCACGGCTGGCCATTGCCGCTCGAAAGCGCTGGAGACACTGTAGTACATATGCCAGGCCTGTAAGTGGCGCTGTAGTCTGCCACAAAAGCAGCGAAGAAGACTTCCCGCCCATAGTTACCATGGTTACCCTTCTGTTTATTCTCCGCTGTGGCTTTTTTTCTCCCTCCCCGAGGCAAACGTTTGCTCCCGCTGCTTTAATTCAATGCAATCCCTCCCCGTCGAGGCAAGCACTGTAATTCTCTCCGGTTAGTCCACCAGCAGATGACAAACACCCACCTCTCCGCCTCTTCCAAGGAACGAGGGGACCGTGCGGCAGAGTTTCAGTTTCAGTTTCTTTCGCCGGTCAAGATGTCCGTTAAAGTTTAAATCTTCCGGACAAAATTAGAAAAGTGCCGGTCAAAGGTCTTCTTTGTTATTTATTGAGCTTTAAAACAAATGAATAACGACTCTATAGGCCTATTATAATATAATAAAACACGGAGGACGGAGATCTTTTTTTCTCCCCCTCTTGACTTGATCAGAGCACGGCTCCCCTCTCCTGCAGGGGGGCGTGGTCTCACAGAATCAGCCCCGTTGACAGCAAACAGCACATAGAGCGAAATGAGGCATGGCTAAAATGCATGATCTGTTTGGTATTTTGAAAACAGAAACGTATAAATATACCTTATATAGGTATGGCCCTACAATATATCATTTAAATATAGCATGATAGGTGTCCTTTAAGTTGGCAGATGTAGCAAATGTGATTCTGCAAAAAAACAAAGCTAACTGCTAACGGAGGTTTTGCCTGTCCCCTGTAGCTGCCGGGCACTGTACTTCTGTAGAAATGTCCTGGTGGTGTAGTAGATTAGGCAAGTGTGAACGTTTTATCTTGATGCGCCTTTAGTTCAATCAGGAGAGACGGTTTTGATGTAAGAATACATATTTATTGCCAGGAATACACAAATTAATGTAATGGAGTTTTGGCGGTTAGGCCCCGTTGTGCAGGAGTATCATTCGGGAGGGGAGAACCGATCCGATGAAATCCCCCGGGGTCTAGACATTGGTGGTGGTAAATGGATAGTTGGGTTCGGTCTGAAGGGGAGTGGCTTAGCTTGACCCTGGATTCAGAGGGACAGGAGGTGAAAAGGGGTGGAGGAGGGTTGCGTCGAGTCACCTGAAATGACAGATGTCAGAGGGGAGAGCAGATTTAAAAGGTTTAGCGGAGCGCTATGATAGGCTTGTGAGAATAGAGCGAAGTGATTGGTTAAGCTGGGGAGTGACGCCCCCGATCACTTATTGAGAGGAGAGAGAGTAGTAACATGGAAATAGTAAATGAATGAGTAAAAGAAGGTCTTCCTGGTTGAACTTGCGCTGAGCTTCATTAGTCCACTGTACAGAAAATTGTAGTTTTTCCACAGAAGATGCACATCAATAACATCTGCTTGCGCATCATAATAACTACGCCCAGTATAAGTGCAGTTGGATTCTTAGCACCACGGTTGTCTTTTCCTAAGTCCTGTTGAAGTCTCGCCTCATCTCTCTTTAACCCTTTGACATTTTCATAGAAGACATAAGACCTGATTTGACCACTACCAACGAACATGTTTTGACAAACCCTTGGCCAGCGCTTCTTCTCTGTTCTCTCATGTTGGACTGAGATTAGACTGAACACAACAATGACTCACTATCACCTCTTCAGGTACAATTCTCTCTGCAGCACAAAATAGATAATAAATGATGGTCCCATTTAGAGCCAAATAGACAAGAAAGTAGCATATGCCTGAGGGTGTAGATAACTTGTGATTTTCAGACACTGCCACAGTGTTTGCAGTCTGGTTGATGTCTGTGTTCACTTATTGCTTTGTTTAAGATTGTGGTTTTTTTGCCTACAAATTTCTTCTTAAAAGGTTCAGTTGAACTTAGCTCACTTATGTGACTAATGTTTTCAAAGATGGCCAAAGCCAAAACTGAGATTTCAACTGCCAAAATGCCGAGCTTGAGGCTAGAGTTATTTGCGTGCGTGGTGGGGAGTGGCTCGATATTTCATTTCTATTGAATGGGAACCCTTTAAGAGGCATTAATTGAGTTGAATTTGCAAATGTATGCCGATGATGCGGTCATCTTTGTACACGGGAAAAACACTGAAATTATCTCATCCTGTCTCTCAAATGCTTTCGAAAAGGTTCAACACTGGCTGAACAACATTTGCTTACAGTTAAATGCAAAAAAAACAGTATGCATGATGTTCAGTAAACGACCAGTCAAAATCTAAGGGTCCAATGTGTTTTTAAACGGAGCAGCAATAGAACTAGTCCCCCACTTCAAGTATCTTGGAGTCATAATGGACTCGAACTTGAATTTTAAGAAACATATTAAGAAAGTATCCAATACCATTAAATTCAACTTGCAACATTTTAAACAAATTAGACCTTTCTTAACTGTCAATAGCCGCGTTCACACCGCGTACTTTGCAGTACTCAGTGCCCGGCACTCAGTGTGGGGCACTCAGTGCCCCATGGGGGACTGAGTACAGATCGCGTTCACACCGGAGTACTTCCCTGAGGGAAGATTACGCAAATGAAGCCGCTGACGTCACTTCTTCTGCTTTGGGTTTACTGGCAGGCCGCAAACAACTTCACGGCGTATACTGCCACCCGAAGTCCCCGGCCGGAAGTCCCCGGAGTTGGGGACTGGCTTCAGTAGGAGCTGCTGGGACTCCCAGCTAGTAATCTTAAAATGTTAAATGTTACTGTGAAATGCTTTTATACTTTCCTCATTTTTGTGCATTTTGTTTTTTAAATTTAGGCAAACATTCATTTTACAGATGAACCCAACTCTCACCTCTTTGGCCACAGACAGCAGTTCAGACACATTACACACACAAGCACAGTGACTCCAATTCTTCACATCTGAAAGGAAATTGTTGACACACGACAGCAGCATGTTCAAAATAATGTATTATTAGTCGTAAATGTTTCTTTGTGTATTGAAAAAATATCAGTAAAATACATGTAGCATTAGTAAACTGAACTACGATAGATTGCGTGGAAATCCACAGGTTTGAAGAACCATCATAGTTTCCCTGTTTGTCTCCACAGTCCTTACTCAGGCCTTTATCTGCGTTGTTTTCTTCAGATGCAGAGTCTTTCTCAATCAGATACATCACCAAAATCGTCTCCAGAAGGCTGACCATTATCAAACCAAACATCCCAATGCAGAAGACTGCTGAAGAGAAAAGGCAACGTCATGAAAGTGACACCAATGACAAGAAACTAAATCAGTTCATGTGTAGTTTCTGCTTAAAGGAAATGACAGTGAAATGAAATAATGACTGAGTTGCTTTACCTATAAGCGGTATCCTGTCTGAGGAGGAAGGCAGAATGTCGTTGAGAATAAGCTGCATCACAGTGACAGCGAGCAGCACAGTGACCTTGAAGCTGACCTTCTCGCCCCTGCTGTCTGACATCAAGAAGGAGGCCAAGTCCAGACAGAAGAAGAACAGGATGGGCACTAAGAAGTTGGCGATGTAAAGGGCAGAACGCCTCTTCATCCTGATCTGTGAAACTTCTAATGGTCAGTTGGTTCATGATACTCAAATACCTTTTTTTCTAAGCAAATGTCAAAACAGCAACAATCAAAACTATTTTGATAATGCATTAATCAATAAAGCTGATTTGTGTGCAATATGGCAGAAAATGTTTTACTGAAATATGGAGAGTTCCTGTTTTATATTATATTTGGGTAATGGATTGACCCAACAAGACATACAGTATAAGGACATCACTCTAGACTTTGAGCAAAACGTTTGTAAAAGTTCCAGCAGCTTTGTTTAACAGCGATAAACACTCTGCTGCAACAAACCTCTGGAGAATTGAATCATGCAGCTAGCAGCTAAGGAGACACCCTCAGGAGCTGGTAGAGACCAAAAACAGAGCTAAAAACATAAAAGTGAATATTGAACTTAAGTTGCCAAGGTGTTCAGAAATACTAATCCAAATTTATTTTAATTTGACTCTATTTCTAATGGATGTGTTAATAAGAAACTGTTTTCACAAATTGTTTCTGTTTAAACACAGTGGCCAAAAAAGAAAAGCTGTAGCTGCAGGTTTATGTAGAATAAATAACTTACGCGCAGTCATCTTAAGACTTTCATCATGTTATTAATGTGCAAAGTTTTTCATTCTGCAGGTTAAAGTGAGAGCAGCAAGAGGAACTGCATAAATCTAAATGCAAATATTTGCCAGAAGAAACACATTTTAACGGTAAAATGTACTCAATACTTACAGTATAAACGATCTTGCTTTGATTAAATCTTGAATGCTTGACAGTTTCTGGGTTGACTATCAAGTTCTTGAACAGCCACTCGTACTGGGTCCTCTTCATCATGTCACGAGACCACTGTGTAATCCTTGCAATGTCGTTTATGACTTCAAACGTCAACTCCTCATCTGAAGTGTAAGTGAAAATAAAGTGTGGTTTCTAATCAGGTCAATAAAGAAATGCATGTGCTGGTGATTATGGAATGCCATTCAAGCCAAAATTAAATAAATACATAAATAATTAAATAAATACATATATATATAAATATGCCTATGAAATAAATTCTGAAATAAATAAATGAGCCAATAAATATGTATACATGTATTTATTTCATGGGACTTTTATTTCATAATGACACATTTATTTATTTCAAGAGACTTTTATTTCATAATGACATGTTTATTTATTTCAGGGGACTTGTATTTCATAATGACACATTTATTTATATATGGAAATAAAGGAGAAGAGAGAGTTTATAGGAGTACTGAGTGTAAGTGGCAAAATAATACTAAGGGGTTGGAGAGGTTTTTAGGTTAGGTTCAGGAGGGAAGAAGGTTAGGATTAGGTAAAAAGGTAGGGAGTGATTATGGTTAGGATGGGGGGAAGGAAAGGGTTAGATTTGCGGCTTTCACACCAGCGCTTTTCCCTTTCTAGCTCCTAGCTAGAGCTTTTCTGGTTCAGCTCCGGTTTCCCTTTTCAGCTCCGACTCTGTTCACACCGCTCAGTGTTGCTTTTATTCATACGAAGCCAGATTAAATTAAATAACGACTTCTCCAACCTTATACTTTTCTCCAGAGTGCCGTGGTTCATTGTTTATTAATGTGTTTCAGCGGCATTTACCGACCGCTGCAGTGCTGGCTGCTCTTCCACGGGAGTTTATTCTCCCGTTAGCTCCGGGTTAGCTCACACGGCTCTAAAGTATTCACTGTCTGACTGTCACACAAGCAGCTGATACATATCCCCAGTTCCCCTTAAGTGAATGTGTGTCAGTCTGAATTGACGCTGTTTGGCATCACAACGCTGTTATGAAAGTTTCTCTGGTATAACATGGGTGATGTTAGCATAGCAACCGAAGCTAAACTGACTACTTGCTAAGCCGTTTTCTACAGGCACATTTTACCGGCGTATTTTTCATTATGATTCTACTTGTGATAGTCAGACATGACCACCTGTGCAGCCCATGTATTCATTCCATCCGATAGCTGCTATAATAACAAACAAAACGTCTGCCTGCTCTCCACAATGATCAATAACAGCGAACGGATGGTCAAAGTAAGGTACAAATAAACAGAATCACACGAAGCCTGGTTAGTGTTGCCTGACTTTATAAAGTGTGTTTTTTTTTATAAGTGTGTGGTTGCCTTCTAGTCACTTTGCTCAGCGCTACTGTTGTAGGCAGGCATGACGAGACTCTTCAGTCGACCCATGGCATGTTCAGGGGAGGTGGGTTTAGTTTCCTGCACGCCTCGACGTAAGAGAGACGTAAGCCTCTAGCTCCAAAGCTCTTGCCTCTAGACCGACAATTTTTTGTAGCTGGAAGTGAACCGCATTCCGGAGCTATGAGGCGGCGCCGCTGCAGTGTGAACAGGAAAAACCGGTACTTTTTCAGCTCCGAGCCGGAGCTGAAAAAGCGCCGGTGTGAAAGGGGCAGAGGTGGGACCAAGTCATTGTTTTGCAAGTCCGAGTCAAGTCTCAAGTCTTTGCGCTCAAGTCCGAGTCAAGTCTCAAGTCTTTGCGCTCAAGTCCAAGTCAAGTCTCAAGTCAGGATGGGCAAGTTCAAGTCAAGTCCAAGTCCTAAACTTTGACAAAACGAGTCTTAAACAAGTCCTTATGTGCTTTTCACCAAATGTAATGACATCGATCAACAGAATAATACTTAATAATCAAACTGCTCTTTATTAGTCACATTAATCATTTAATAATCCATTTTCTCTCTGCTGGTAAAGTAACGTGTTTTTTTCTATTTTAAGAGGGATCAGTAAGGTTAGGCTACCGTGACGGTTTGATTCAGAAGGAGTTCAATGCATAAGAGCGCTGATGTTGAGGTAACCAGAATGTTTATTTCCACTGTGTACATGTTATAAGGGACCCACAATCTATCTTTATGCAAGGGATAATGTGCAGCGAGCCGGTCTCTATGGGGAAAAGAACACCTGAATCTAGATCCCTCTGCAGGTGATACTTTAACTATATTTTGATGATAATACTTTTCTACTTTTACTTGTAACATTTTGAATGCAGGACTTTTTATTGTAACAGAGTATTCCTACACTCTGGTACTTTTACTCAAGTACAAGATCTGAACTTCTCCCACCTCTGACAATAAATCCTGAGTGGTTACCAAAACAAAACCCTGCTCTGAAGGTTATTTTCATTTGACAAATCCTGCACTCAGCTTTGCTTTCTCCAATATCATTGAAATGCAGCCAGATGCTGCTTCTTTTTTCGGTTTTCGCTCATTTCTTGACTTTTTCCGACGCGCTTGCATTTAAATCCGTCTCCCCGTCTCCCCGTCGCTCTGTGTAGCTGGCCTGTACCACTACACTTGCTGTCTTTGGAGCGTCTGCCCCCCACCCTTCTTTCACATAATGGTATGATCCTAGTGTGTCCTCGCATATGATTGGCCGCATGGTGGCTCAGCAAAATAAAGTCCCGCCCCTGCCTGCATGGATTCTCAGCAAGAGTTGCAGCGGCTGAAGATTCTGCTTTCCCCGACGGGAGTCTGCTCTTCTAGCGGCATCTCGCGATCGGCGTGTTGGAGACCTCTGAATTAAATTATCAAGTCACCTCAAGTCAGAAGGCTCAAGTCCAAGTCAAGTCCCGAGTCATTAGTGTTCAAGTCCAAGTCGAGTCGCAAGTGTTTTGTGATTTTGTCAAGTCGAGTCCAAAGTCATCAAATTGGTGAATCGAGTCTGACTCGAGTCCAAGTCATGTGACTCGAGTCCACACCTCTGGAAAGGGGCAATTGAAGGGAGGGAAAAGTAAAGGTTTAGATATGAGGGAAGGGAATACAGATGTAGCAGCTTATTTCAGACTCCAGTTTACAGCTTCCTGCCTGCTACCTGCCAGCTACCTGCCAGCTACCTGCCAAAGACCAGTATCTGGGAATGTTAAGCCCTCCCACTATTTTCCAAGAGGGCGTTGCCAGATTTTCAATTTCAGGATTTAACCAGGAGATGGCGCTTCATTCACAAATACAGAAAGACAACTTTTCATGGACTTTCAGTTTTGTTTAGAAGAGCATTTGAACACATCAATATTTTAGATCAAATAAAGTATATCTAATCTTGTAATTCAATAATATATAGTCTTTATATATTAAATAATCATAATAATAATGTAAATGTTTACATTACACTTCTTTATTTGTCATGCGGTCTACCTACGCTGTAAAATGTATTATCTCTTCGATTTACACACGGCATCTATTGCACTTCTGTCCATCCTGGGAGAGGGATCCCTCCTCTGTTGCTCTCCCCGAGGTTTCTCCCATTTTTCCCTTTGAAATGTGGGTTTTTCTCTGGAAGTTTTTCCTTGTACGATGTGAGGGTCTAAGGACAGAGGGTGTCATTTTCTCATACTGATATTCTGAACAAACTGTGCTGTTGTATTTGCTGTAAAGTGTCTTTAGTGTAGGGTATTTTTATTATATGTACAGCACTTTGGCTCGACCAAAAATCGTTTAAAAATGTGCTATATAAATAAAACTTGATTTGATTTGATGCTCATACTTTTACTTTTACAATCGTTTGCTTTAATATGCAGTATATTTTTTGTATATTTTTGTGTTTGCTTCCTCCTGCTCCCTTTCGGACATATACTGTATGATTCATTATTATTATTAATATGAAGATATTATTAAGATAAGATAAGATGTTACTTTATTGATTGAACATTTTAGTTTAGAATGTGCTATCCCACGGTAATTCAGAAGGCTCACAGGTCACATTCCGACCATTATTTAAAACAATGGGTGCTTTCATAATAATGATGAGAAACTATGAAATAAGAAATGAATCAAATTAAAATGTAATTATCATATCATATATTATATAGTGTATTGTATTATTAAGTAATATCATACATTAACCCCATTATAGCAGATGCCACATTGAATGGATGAACACATTTATGCATCAATAATTACAACAGAGTATTTCTAAATACAAGTTGTAATCTAATCCTCTTATTTTACACAATTGACAGACAGTGTTATTTGTACGTCAATAG